AGGTGAATACCCCACTTGTCACAATAATATTATCATGCCAATGCATATATGTGGTATTTTAGGGTTGACTATATTGATTAAGGCAATCGACTATGATATTCTGTATGCACCTCGCGTGAAATGGTTGATACCGGAAGTACGGTGTCGCCCTCGGCCCAAAACCCGTATGTGTGTGTGAAAGAATATTATAGTATATACTTATACTTGTAGTGAAGTAAAAGTACACAATTTAGGTAGAAGTACAAAGTAGAAAAAAGTTGAAATACTCAAGCAAAGTCCCTCAAAAGTGTACGTAATTACAGAACTTGAGTTACACCACTGTTTTTTTATCTTGTTTTCAATTTAATTTCCTGAAAATGTATTGGTGGTGTTTAATATCAGTTTGGCCTCTTTGCCTTCAGGTGATAGACGGTTCCGGTGGTGCTGGCTTCACACAGGCGGTTGAGACGGTTAGCTTCAGCCTAAACCTTGCGAAATGCGAATCCTGGTCATTATACAGTTTACATATTTATATGTTCTTCGCTTTCTTAATAACGTTTGCCACGGATATGCCTACTGTCAGGAGTTACTTACCAAGGTTTGTTCAACATTTAAGGCGGTATAACCGTGAAGCTGAAGTCCGGACTCCTCGGGGTTTGTGTGCAGTCACCGGGACTAGGCTAGTTGCTGGATGGTAAGTGAATCTTAAATCTTAAATGGTTTGACTACTACTTGTCAAAGCACAATGTCTTTGTTTTTATGTTTCAAAGCAACATATTTGTGTTTTGTTTTTAATTGTTACACAACAGGTGATTTTACATCATTTACGGTGCTGGGAAGTAACGGAAGTTATAAAACAAGTAATGTAACGCGTTACTTTGTTTTGCTGCTCAGCGTTAGTTATGATATATAGTTTATATATACAGTCTATGGTTATGAGTAAAGTGATGTTAACCTTTTCAATGAATATGGCCTTATGTGTAAAAAAGCAAACTAATGTAGCCTATTGGTTGGCTAGCTTGCCCAACACTGGAAACCATTGGTTTAATAACACTACAAAATCAGATAAATTAAATAAATATAAAAAAGCACAATATCCTCTGAGTCAATTCAAAGTCAATTCAAGTTGCCTACTGGAGTATTTAGTTACTTTTCACAACCAACTTGTCTCCAGACTTTTATGCAGAGAAAGTCATACAACATTAAATCAATTTTGTAAATGGTAAACATTTTAGCCTACAGTTTGTGCAGACTGTTGCCTTTTGGCAAAATCTAATTTAATTTCCTTTTCAGGTCATGACATAAGCTCCACTAATGATACAAGGTTAATTTGAGGATATGCATAGGCATAGCTCAGTGAGCATCACTATTAATTTACTCATCCATGACAGGAAGTGCTGGAGGGGCATCAGGTGTGCCTTCTGCACAGCCCTTCCCTTCAGAGCGGTGTGTTAATGCAATGTGAACATGCAATCCTAGACACTGACCCAACAATTAAGAGGTGCACCATGTGGTTTCATATCAGTACTTCATATCAACAATGCATGTGGGCGACTGCTTCAACACTTACAGGCAGCTAGTTAGAGTGATAAATCGCACCCCTGTCACTCAAACACAGCAGTTTGTCTGCATGCAAAGAGGCAGATCTTTTATACTCTTAACAACAAGAAATAAGGCAAAAATTGAACTTATTCATGGTTTGTGGTGTGAAAGCATACAAGAAAGGAGGTTGTGAGTGGTGGATCCAGTAGACAGACAATAAACAATTTAAAGACCGACAGCAATCATATCAGATAGCTAGTCAGTCCAGACAGACTTCTACAGCAGTGAAAGCTGAGGCAGATGCCAAATCCTCCCTTCGTGACATAACTTGATGTTTCAATTTATGTGGATTTATATGGACGGACGGTCATGCTATTGGGTTAATACTGTATTATGAGGAACTCTATTTCAATTACACAAACAGAGTCAGTAGGCCACTAACGCTGGGCCGCCTATCTCCCTCTCTATCATTCTGTCTCATCTTAGTCCAGGCCATCTGTTACAAACACAGCTCAAATCTGTGGTATGAGGCTGACATATAAGTTACCTCTGTTATATTACTGAGGCACACCTCGCAGTAAACTAAAGCCAATGGGAGATGAGCGTGAACAGGTGCAGCTCCTTCCATCGTGCAGTCAATTCCTTTGAAAATAATTTGCGTGCTGACTGCTGAAACCTTCTCAAGTGTTGGATAGAGGATGTAGGAGCAGGAGCTATGTATAGGTAGTCACATAAGAATACACACTCACACAGCTACACACTTCAAGACAGTTTGAGTCATCAAATTAATGTTAGCCCACTCTGATCTGAAAATGCACTTAATAGATGGAGTTAATTCAGCTTTTCCAGACTCGCTCACTCACTCCTGCACTTTTTAAGACATTTCCACAAAGCGTGTATCGTTAACTGCAAACACATTCATTGAGGAGGTTGTGGAGACATAAGGGGCACTGATAACAGTACCGGAGAGGGACCAGGGGTCTCGTGCTGTCACATCTGTGAGATTATGAGTGACATGAAGGCCCGGGAGGGGGTGCCAAATACATAGGCAAAGAGAAACAAGTTATGCAAGTTATTATTCATTTGTATCCCACCTAATTTCCATATTCTTTTGTTGCCAGAGCTTGTTAGGCCGCGGCACGCACCTGGCACTTCCATGCCAACTAAGTCCTATCTGAAGTGCTTCCACAGTGGCACACGCAAGCATCTGCATAAACACATGCAAACATAGAGATGCACTCAGACACAACACAACACACAAACTAATGCGCACAGGGCGGTAGTAGTAAGGGGGAAAAGTGGTAATTATTCAGAGGCTCCCAAGCTGTAGGTGGTTTCCATAAAAATGTTGAATGAATCAGACTCTCTCGTGGTGTTTGGGCCTTTCGTTTCACAGATTCACAGATTTGCCAAAGTACCCAGCATTCCCAGAGAGCGACATTCTTAGAGCTCTGTAACAGAAGCATACCAAGTGTCCATCCTTCACTTGTGGGCTTATTATGAGCACATGATGGGAGCGCTGTGCAAACTCTCAGTCCTGCTACCCTTGCACACATACACACAATTTTCAAAATAAAGTAAAAGTGAAATTCTTACCTTCCTCAGCTGAGTTAGGCTGGAAAAACAGACAGAGAGACAGAAAGACACTCCACATCTCCACGACAGAATGACACTGACAGAGAGAGGGAGGGAGAGAGCATGAAAGAAGTAGATAGAGTGAGTGTGTGTGACAGAGTGAGCGAGAGAGAGAGGGAGCAGGGGGTGAGAGAGGGGGTGGAGTCTGTTTGCTCCCTTTATCTGAGAGAGGGAGAGAGAAAGAGAGGGGGAGGATGGATGAGGAAAGGCGAAAAATATTTACAGAGCAGCACATACAATAAGCACAGTGCCAACAGAGAAGTAAACAAAACACTGTTGTCAGCGAAACGAGGGGAGAGAGAAAGAGTGAGAGTTTTTTATATTCGAGAGAGAGAGACAAAGAAGGAGAGAGAGTTAACAAGAAAAAGTGTCATAGGGAAAGGGAGGTGGAAAAATGAATAAACTAGTTAGTCCAGTCTTTAAAACAACTGTCTAGACATGTCTAACGACATCACTTCCAGCTCTCCCCTAACGCCTCACACCAACTTCAGCGGGCCGCCTGGCAGACTGTGCATCAAACTGTGGCATCCCTCAAATATCTGGACACTGTGCTAACTTGCATTTTTCAACTTGTGGCATGCGAGAGTGCCCAATTTCTTTTCCTTTTTTTGTTTTTGGATCCCTCTCAGTTCTACCTTTTATGGAAAATGAATATCGTTTGGACACATTTTTGGATGCCCTCCATCCTGCCTCTTCCTAACACCATCCTCCTCCTCCTTTCCCCTCCGTCTCTCAGACACACTCCTCGCCTCCCAGGATTGCTCATCCAGACAGTTTCTAGACACGCACTCACACACAGGCATGCAAATACACAGAGCTGAGCCCCTCTGGCTCATGCACGCCACTCGCTGGTCAGACCGCAGTGCTGCAGCTTGTTGATGGACTTTCATGCCCCAGTTCACTGCATTGACTGACACTTCAGTAGACCTTTGCAGGGAGATGTTGCCTATTGGCTTGACACAATTAGATGGCCCCATTCCCAGCCAGCCGGGGGCCCTTTACCCTGGGCTCTTTGCTCCAAGAAGCAGAGTGGAGAGGCAAATGGATCACGCCGGTCCTCCCGTCATTAAGCCGGGACTTAGAACTTCATAATCAGTTGGTCCTGAAAGCACATATTCCCTGTGCCACTTTATATAAAAAGTGTTTTTTAGAGCTGAAGTGAAAGATTGATTAATCTGTTTATCATTAACTTTTGCTCAATCTATTACTTCATTTCTTTAAAGGAAATATGGACAAACACTACTGGTTCCAGCATCACAAATGTGATATTTTTTCCCGCTACTCTTGTTCTGCTGTTATTGGGAAATTAAGGCTGCACCCGATTCATATTTTCTATGGCATCCAATAGAAGCTTTGTCTGTAAAATATTAGGAAAGAAAAGTGTTCCGTCAGTCCAAAACCCCCCCCGACAAGTTGATTACTCGACTCGTTGTCGCAGCTCCAGTAAACTTTAGGTTTTGTACGGTTATTTTGTCACCATGTGCCCTAGGAACCAATTATAAATCATTTTGTTAAGACGTTAGTTTTTTTTTGGTGTCCTTCCTAAAGAAATGAATTGAACAGTATCTCACTTACCACTTCCCCCATAAAACAGCCACGACCTGTAATTTTAGAAGCAGCAATGTTAGTATGTCTTTTCAGGGGAATTCCTCTCAGAGGTAATCATTATCTCGCGTCTCTACATGTGTTCTGGTTTGGCTTTTGAAGCTGTGTGATCCAAGACTAAATCTGACCTCAAAACTCCTCCCGCATTCACTCCTTAAAAGCGTCATCACACAACCATGAATACATGTCTTCTTAAACCAAACTGTTCAGCAGCTGCCGCAGAGAGAAACGGAACTCTGTTCTTTAACTTATGGCTTTATTTCAATGTTTCTGAGGTTTGGTTATCTCTACAGTGTATAACAGCACAGCTGATGCGGTGCAGAAAGGGAGTAGCCACAGTAATCACACTCTCACTTTAGCACAGAGACTGCAATCACATTAAACATTCATTGCTTTGACTCGAGCATTACAGACAGTGAAATAATTCATAATTCAAGTCACACATTCCCTTAAAGATGGACAACTTTATTTCCTTTTTTAGTTTCTCAAAGCAAGTGTCACTAATATTATTAGTGGCATACATGATGATACTGTGACTCTCACGCACACTCAAGCTTTAACACTCCTGACTTCTGTTTACCATTAAGCAACAGTGACATCCACCATTGTGACAGTGCAAGACAAATCAGTCAATGTAGCAGATTAGACAGGATTATGAGGCACAACCAAACATCCTAATGCACACATTATATTTACAGAGAAACGCACAATACAAACAATTATTACAAACTGGTCCGACTGCCAAAGTGCAAATAAAATGCTACTAAGCTCAAACATTGAAAATGTTTTCCATATGAGTGTGCTCATATCCAAGAAGAAGTACAACTGTACAAACATTAACACAACAGATATAAGCCTATGTACTATGTTGTAATAGTTTATCCTGATTCAGTTACTGAAGATTCTACAATATTTATGGGCATCATTTCAGAAAATTAGAAAGCACAACAATCAATAAGGCATTTTTTGTGCGTTAACTACTAAAATAAATGCAATTCATTTAGTGTTATTACTCAACATTACTATACCTCTTGGTTAAGATCATCATTGTAATATTTTCCAATATCTTTCATGTTAGATACGTATTGTTGTTATCAGTCGATTTTAAAGTGTTTCAATACAAAACATTTACCACAAATGACTGTTTAACACTGATGAGCACTTGATTTAATGTAACGCTATTTTAGAGCCGGCAATATGATGTTAGCCTAGGATGCAGAAGTTACTGCTTCATACTGATGTCAAGAGAGTTTCAAGTACAGTGATGATAAATGTAGCCACCTGAGTTTATCCTACGGTTGTAATGCTTACTGTAAACGACTACAAAATACTGGCTGAAATCATTGAAAACAGAGGTTGGGTTTTTTAGGAGCAGAAATCCTATGAGCAGACTTTTTAAGGCCTGACAGTGTTAGCCTACCGTGGTTCATACAGACAGCTGTAATTTACAGACCTGTCTTCATTATTTCTATAATTTCAAACATCCTCTACTCTCATGAGATGTTGTGCTCCAGGATGATAATACATATTTATATTCTGCTACATGCTTAAATATTTGTATTCTAAGTTTATAGTGCTTTTTTGCACACTTAAATGGGAGAGGGGCTGCTGTAACACCTCTATACTCACTCTGTCTACTCAAGACAACATGGCTCCCTCCCCCAGGCAGCAAGGCACATCAGGCATGCAGACAGGACAGCAAGTCAGTCGTTCTTTTTTGGGTCAAACTACCAGGATCCAAAACCAGCTTTTCAAGCTTGACCTCAATACATAAACCCCCCCAAATCCCACAACCTTTTAGCATGGGGGTAGCTGAAGACCTGGGACTTAAGGCTGAACATATGTTGATCCTCTTATATGGCAGTATGCGTAGGGCTGGCAATGGGAATGTCAACTATTATTAAGTACTAGTAATTCAGTTAAGTTTGGCCCATGTTTAAAGCAGGATTACAGGGAACTCTGTCAATTATTAAAGCATGTTTGTGACGAGGGAACCTTTAATGCTTTAAACGTTTGTGTGTTATGAAATATAGCTCCTTATATCTATGTGTTTAAAACCTTTTGTCTGTGTTGTGTCCGGATTTCTTTTACTTCTTCTTTCTAAGGAAGACCCACCATGGGGACCTTGCTTGTGGGGGAGGTTGGAGGACCTTCTTTTCCCTCGGTCAGGCCGACGGCCATCGGCTCAGGAACCGCGAAGGGTTTTCCCGCGCTGGCAGCGAATCCCTGAGCAATGTCGTCAAAGGTCCTGCCTCTCGTCTCTGGTACTCGCAGGAAGGTGAAGATGAAGAACAGGATGAGGAGGACCATAAAGATGATGAAGACGTAAGGACCACAAAGTTCCTGAGGGAAGAAGAGAGAGGTGTGTAACTACATGACTCAAACTGCACATACTTCTGAAAATGTTTGCAGTGATGGGAAGTAACTAAGTACATTTACTCAAGTTCTTTACTTTTTGAGATTTACGTACTTTCAACTCCTAATCCATTATACTATCAGAGGGAAATATTCTTGTTTTTACATCACTATAATCTGTTAATAACTGTTGCCAGTTACTTTCAGATTCTAATAAATAAAAACAAACATGGGTGTGAATCTTTAAGTATCTTATGATTTGATTCAATTTGATATATCATTGCACTTTTATTCAAAACGGTTCCTGATTCAAAATGAGTTCTGTGTTGAGCACGTGGTGGTCCTCAGCGGTTACAAATCAATTAATGGAAGTTCGGAATAGATTCAAAATCATAGAAGATAGAAATCTTGTTTCTTCCATGAAATAATGTATTCCAGCACACATATTAATCAACTATTATATATTCAAAAATAAAATATCATTATATGTGATGATACTGCTGTTTATAAAGTTAATGAAATTAGCTGAACTCTACCACCTGCAACATTTTAGTGATGAAAAATGTTATGTATTCATTATTTTCTCCAATAATGTATATTTTCATGGTATGAGCCCTTCTGCATTATGTCTACTTTTACCTTAGGTGGCTCTACATTAAGTGTATCTTGATGTCAATACAAGTAAAAGACGTAAATGTTTCCCTTACCTCAAGTTTAGGGAATCCCAGCCCCACGAGGAAGTTGGCGGTCCAGTTGGACAGACCGGAGACGGCCATGGCAGCAGGCCGGGGCCCCTGGGAGAAGAGCTCAGCCACGATGAACCAGGGGATTGGACCTGGACCCATCTCAAAACTGGCAACAAAGCCGAACACAGCCACGATGGCCAGGTAGCTCAGAGACGGGTTGGCCTTCTGCTCAGACAGAGAAACAAAGAGTGAGTACAAGAAGATGTTGTTTTCTTAAGCTCACAGAACAAGAGGTAGCAAGCAAACATCACTTACCACCAAAACCAGGGAGATCGTCATAATGAGGGCAAAGAAAGCCATTCCTGCCAGACCAATCAGATGCAAGGTTCTTCGCCCCGCCCGTTCAACCAGGAAGAGCTGGATTTAAAACAAAGAAATTGTTAATACAAATATGAATAATAATGTAAACCATGCCTTTTATCTAAAGAACAAATGTTTAGTCGGACACTTACGGAAACTACAGTAAACACGGTGTTGACAACTCCAGCTCCTATGGTGGCGTAGATGGGTTGAGTGACACCAGCTGTGTCAAATATACCTGTAGAATAATAGAACACCTAATAGGAGAGAAAGATGAAGAGTTATTAGTATTAGTAAAGAAAAATAAGGGTAGTCTTTTTCATTACAACTTAGGTTAGGTGAGGAATTGCTCTTAGGGTGCTGGTTGTTTTTGGGGAAATGGGCTCAGCAGCCTGTCCACGGCTCTGGGGGAAAAGCTTTTTATTAGCCTGTGGGTCCATGTGGTTCTGAGCCTGCCTGAGGGGAGGCTGGAGAACAAGGGCTGGCTGTGGTGTGAGGGGTCTCATGATATTAAAGATATGGTATTAGCTACAGTTGATGGCTCTCAAGTTTTAGATTTGGGAGCAGATGATTTTTGTACTTTTCGATTTAGGTTGTGGGCCATAAAACAAAAATAGTGAGCTAACTGACCCTAAAATGCCATGTAAACTTCAGAGGATTTGCAGAGTTGGGTTATAGTTACATCAGGTTTGTGACTTCAAGCAACCTCTTTCACATTACACCTAGTCATGTGTTCCATTAAATATAGCTTCGTACAGTTGGTGCTACTAGCTGCTGATGAGTGGGCGGGGTCACGGCTGTTGAATATCTGTCAGTTAAATCGATGTTACAGCCTTTAGCCACGGGCTGCCGCAGCTTTACTGTTGATCACAGTAGTCAGGTCAGAGGGGGGGACGCTAACACACTTAGTCAGCCTCGTGACATGACCTTATTAACAAAAACCTATCAAATACCACTTTGTTTGTCTCTTTCCAATGACCCCACTGGCTTAAATTATTCCGCTCAATCGAACATTGCCTGGAGCAGAGTAGCGTCTCTCGTCATGTGCGTTTTTCAGTAAATGCTCCTTTAGAGATGTAGTGATGACATTGACTGAGACTTATCATATAATGATACCCATAACACTCTGCTCCCTGACAGGATATGGTGTTTACTCACAGCGTTGATACCAGACAGTTGCTGGGAGAGCTGCAGGATTATGGCTATGATGATTGGTTGGCGGTAGTTTGGGGAGCGGAAGAGTTCAGGGATGGTCACTGTCTTCTCCAAGGCCATCTTCATCCCTTCTGCCTTCATCTCATTAATATCATCGCTCACATCCTCACAGCCGCGCAGACGCACCATGGCTACAGAGAGAAGAAGGGATGGATGAAAGGAGAGGGAGTAGGTACATTATTGTGCAAATATGGTGTAAAGTAAGGCTGGAAGGGTCTTAGAACATTATGTTGTAAAACTTTAATAAATCGCAGGGCCGTGCCTCAAGGTTCATTACAATTTCAAGAGCAATTCTAAATTCAGTCTCATTAAAACCTGATGTCGCAATCTCGTTTGCATAACGTCTCAAAACCGACCTTTCCTGGCCTCCTCCTCCTGGTTGAGGACGATCAGCAGGTAGCGGGGGCTTTCAGGACAGAAAGGCAGCAGGATGCTCTGCACGATGGCCGGCAGGATGGTGAGAGCCAGCAGCAGAGGCCACAGAACGTCTGAGCCGAGCAGAAACTCCAGACCAAAGACCTGAAATGCATCAATAACACAAGATGAAGTCATTATAATGAGTTGAGCTTTCATTTGAACTCAAACAACCCTCGCAGCTCTTCTCCAGGACACCATGCTTTTTGTAGTAGTTTTATTATATTACATTGATATTATAATAAACACTAAGAGATGGGAGAGATTTGAATATACTATGCTCTGAAAAATATGGTTAAAATAATACTTTTTAAAAAAGGGATATGTTCTATTTCTACAGTATAATCTGAAAATATGCTTGTAATATTATTAGCTAATTATATGTTTATATATTGTACAGCTTCCCAACAGACTAAAAATATTAATTAAAAACAAAATGTGTACTAAAAGAGAGCTGATAATGTTGTTTCTTGTCCGTAATGATGATCTGTAGGTCACATGACAGCATCGAACTCTTATAAAAGTTCTGAAAAACATTTATGAGGTGAAAAATAATAATGTGAAGAGTTGTGCAACACATTGATTTTGAGGCACTTGCTTGAATTCTTCAAGCAAAGCTGATTCACAAGTTCACGTTTTTCCTGCAGAAATCCAGAGCTTTTGCATAATAAATAAAAAACAAAAGTATCTCAGTAACGTAATCACCACATCATACCTGTGCCACCAGGATGCCAATCACCACACCCAGCTGATGCAGCGTGCCGAAGGCTCCTCGGAGAGCAGTGGGGGCGATCTCACCCACGTACATGGGTGTCAGCCCCGTGCAGAGACCGCAGAACACACCGATGATCAACCGCCCCACGATGACCATCTCGTAAGAACGAGCCAGGCCCGACAGTCCCATGAAACCCCCCCCGATGATAGCCAGGATGTTAGCAAGCAGCATGGACTTACGCCTGAAGAAGAGAGACAAGGAGGGCAGAAGGACATGGTTAGTGGGTGAGTACTGCAGATTATGTTGACCAATTAAATATAATGCAAACTTTTCTATCACAATTTCACAGACTCAAAGGAGAAGTTTCCACGTCTGATTTTGTCAAACAAACAGTCCAAGACAAAAGATAGGCTTTAAAACTAAATTGTGGAGTTTACAATAAGGAAAGGTGTATTTAAAAACTAGTAAGGGTTCGGTTGATTAACTGTCACCATACATGAAACCATTTACTGCACCATACTGTTTACTCCCGATGTTCTTACCTGCCAAATTTGGTGACAACGGCTCCGACAGAGAAGGACCCGACCATGCCTCCCACGCTGAAGATGGCGACTGCAAAGCTCCACACCATGGTGTTGGTTCCTGGGCTGAAAGGCTCCCCGTAGCGCTCCATCGACACATTCTGGAAAAACCTACGCAGTTTCTGTCAACCCACAGAAAAAGAGTGATGAATGGCTGCATCGAAGTAAGTGTTTGTCTAAGTTCACAATCAAAACTATTCATTTTGTGTGTAACTGATGTCAGAGCTCATGCTTCATTGGGAGTTTTTGACACATCCACATGAGGGCAGTATAGCTTTTAGCATTGCCACCTTGCAATGCTGTGGTCACAAATGAGAGCAGTCTTATCATGTCGAGCACCCTAACTGTATCTAGGCCTCTTTGCAAAACCACATCCGAACAGCAATGTGAAAGTCCTAAAACGAGGCCCAGAATTGGCGTTAAAAAAAAGTGTCATTTAAGTTATTGCAATATTAATATCCCAAAAAAGGGAGAAGATATAAAAATGGCATCTATTATTCATCTCTCTCATAATAGTTGTCCCCGCTGTCATAAAACATTAAAGGTCTCTTACACAATTCAACTGACACACACACACACACACACACCTGCTCTGGTGCGTTTATGACCCCGGTGTTGTAGCCAAACTGTAGCGAGCCGATGACAGCTGTTGAAACGCTGAAGAGCAGGTAAAGGGTCACCTTCTTCGGCGGCTGTTGAGAGAGAAAAAGTCATGAGCGATATGAAGGATTAAAACAATGAGCGGATGGAGTTTATGGACAATCCCCCCCTCAGTTTGTGTGGTGGACATGTCCTGTCCCTGGCTCTACAAAGCTCCTGTTGTTTATATTGACACTGGTAACTACAAACACAATGAGTCCCTGTTTTCAGTTTTCTGTCACTTGCAGCACTGTGAAAGCTAGGTTTCGCAAACACTGCACAGGATCCATGATTTGCAGCTCTGAGGTATTTCTCAGCTGAGAAGCTAAAGAAACCCCGAGAGAATAAATGAATCCTATTGTGAGTGCTTTTCCCTGCAGGGTTCAAATTAAAGTGGGCTTAGCTCATAATAACAAGCTAATACACCTGACAATAATCCCTCGTGTGGCACGGCATGTAGGAGTTTGCCATTTTTTACAGTTCCAACAGAGCAGAACTGAGAAATGGGTTTAAGTGAAGTTGTGGTTCCAAGTCTACTATGTGGCGGCACCATGCCAAATAAGGAACCTAGTTACTACATCTCTTTACGTTAACCGCATTACAACAGCTTTCTGGGAACCTCTACAAAGCTCATTATTTGCTTTCCAAGTCGACTGATCCAGACAGGCTGATTAATGAAAGGAAATCCATTTTAATCATCCAGTGTTTTCCAAATCCGCCCGTTTCGACACTATAACACGAGTGAATCATTCATGATTAATACATTGTTTTACACAACTTGTTATCCTAATTAAGTCAGGAAACAGACACAAAGACAGGCACAATTAACTCTGTCCCAATGTTTACATGATATAACTATCTGCACAGATAACTCCTCAAACGTCACAAAACAGTACGTTCATTGAGGGAAATCAAGAGGCAGTTGAAAGAGTCTCCCCCTCTAGAAACAAACCCTCTGTCCTTTAATCTGATCAACTATTTGATTTGCTGAGAACTCAGGCTTCCTTATTGATAACAAAACTACCAACAATGGGCTTTAAGTACATCATGTTTATATGTGTTCCTATCAGGTAAACCCACCCACAGGTCAGAATGAAACGCTAAGGAGGAATTAAAAATGACTCCGTGAACAGCAACACATAAGCAGATAGTGATAATCAGTCGTTATCAGGTCACTGCGTGTTTCTCTGGGACATCATGGCCTTGTCTCATATTCTTACACTAAATCAAGCCGAATATACTTCTGTGACGACATCTTGACGGTTTGACACACAGGAAGTGCTGCAAACACGATTATTTGATAGTGAAGGGGAAATAAAGAGGACTGGAGGGGTCTCTGGGGTGTAGCGCTGCACGAGAGGGGATTTGATGAGGATAACTGCATGTGGGGGTGTGGTTGTGTGTGTACAAATGTGTGTGGATGTAGACATGCCAATTGCATCTGTAGTGACATGCTGATGTTGAGTAAGACTTAGACAAAACGTTCGCATTGTTAAGCCTCTTGCTAAAACAGTGATTCTAATTAGGGAGTGGCCCACTGCGCAATGCGCATTATAGGTACTTTAAGAATTGAATACGGCAGATTAAGAGGTTGTACCAGCATGCACAATTTCCTGCATTTGCACACTAAGGAGCAGAAGCCAAGCCCATCATCATTATCTGCAACCGTGTACTACAATATACAGTTTTTTGTTGCAGCAACATGACATTCGGCTTTAAAAAAGTCATGATCAATACGTTACCATAACCAATACAATTACATTTACAAGTGGTAAAAGTATATACATATTTGTACACGCACAATTCAATGACGTAATTCTTATGAATACCATGGAATATTATAAAAAGCTTAAAAAACGGTTCTAAAGGGATCTATTAAGGTTATTTTCTTTGGAACTTTAAACCTCAGTACCCATGCTTAATTAAAGTTATGTTTCATGTACTTGGTGTTTCATGTACTTGGTTTGGTTCATTGTGTTATTATTAATCATCATCGCTCTCGAAATCCAGAGGAAAGTCTCATTAGTGACACTCCTTTTCTTCGACACTCAAATGACACATTTAACTTATCTTCATCCCATTCTCTCTGTTTATTCAAAATATCTCGCATGGCCGTTTTAGAAAGTCAGTTTTCTTTCTCCCTATGTTTTAATATTGCATTTTACTGTCGTATGTGTCTTCATCATTAATGTGACTTTTGCAGCAGTTCCATTTCACCTTTTCTGCAGTATCATTTATTAGCATAATTTCATCAGAAAGGAAAGATATTTATTTTTTACATTTTTGGTTACACTAATTTTGTGCTATAATTTTTAAGAATGACTTTTTAGAGTGCATGCCTTTTTTGTGGCTTGGGGGGGGGGTAGTTGCATCAACACACATGATGTGTAAACCTTAAGAAACAGCCATGAAATGTGTGTAACTGATTGTTTCAAAAGCCAAACCACAGGGAAGGTTTGTGAGGACAGATAGGCACATTTTGGTCGTTTTAGATACTCTTTACAATACTAAAATATGTAATGCAATCAATTCAAAGTTCACCCTTTGAGTGATAACACTGTCTGTGTAGCATGGTATCGCTAAAGTGTTAACTATATTTGGGCTGTTGCAAGTTGTCAGTCTTTGCTGCACTTTTACAGTTCTTTCTTCATATAACTGGTACGATTCCCTCATGCCTTTCTAATGAACACGCAGATGAAGTAAGAACCAAAACCAGATCGAGTCTAAACTTGCCACCCTGCCTTAGTCATCTCCTGAATTCTCGTATATCCCTCCCATCTCATGCCCCTGCCAGAATGGAAATATACAGGTTTTCCTCTTACTTTTAATAACACTCTTAATTATGAGGACGTGTTGGCACAAAACAGGCTCAGAATGAAACAAACCAAAAGGACTGGCACTCTTCCTCTGGGACTGCTGGGAATTATAACTAAAAGCTTGTTATAATGTGTTTCTACCCGAGAAGAATACTGCAGAATATGTACGGCAAACTCATCTGTGTAGGTTTTTACAGGTAACAGTTTGGAAAATAACAGAACACCACCACTAACCCATGAATCCAATAGAAGTAAGAAACAGTTACCTTTTCGTCCTGCATCCGCTCCATCTTTGCGGCTCACAGAAGATTCAGATGAAGAAAACTACAGGAACTTTTCTTCAAAACTTCTTGGATGCCTCTTATTCCTTATGCACACAACCTCACACCTTTGTGCAAACAGTCCTCGGGAAACCTGAAAATAAACAAACAAAAGAATGTATTACATTCAGTAACTTGATACAGAACACATGTTTGAACAATCTAAAGAACTCTCATAAAGTTCATACCGATAGACCAGTAGACCTAATGGATCAGGCAGAGTGGAGCACTTTTCGGCACTCACTGAATTCAACAGGAGTCAGTATCCAAAATGACAGTAACCCCTCCCTCTGCTTCCGTGTCCACCCTCCTCTTCTGCTCTCACTAATCATGAAATCAAATGAGGAAAAAAGTGATGTAACTCCTTGTGTTCAAATTAAATTACTGTCGCTTTGCTCATTTTGATCAATACAACACCTTCTCAATGGGCTGCAGAAACTTCAATATTATTTGATGATGCTCTAATTAACTGCATTTCGTTTAAAACAAGATTTATTACGTAAAGAACGCTACTTTAATCCGGAATCATGTGATAATAACAACATAGAAATATAATCAAAATATGAACTCATTTGTTTGACACAACCGCATTATTAAAATGAATGTTTGTTTACCGTTGTGGGACATGCCAGCCTCTCTGTATCTTCAATCAGACAAGATGTGTTTGCTCAGAAAATTGCTCAGATGAAGAAGGGAGGGGGGGGGGGGTTGTCGAGCGTACAGTACGGAGCGGAGATGGGGAACAAACGGTGCCGGTGAAAGGAGGCTCTGTGCTGCTGCTGGCCCAACGGGGGCGCGAGAACAAAAGGCAATGTCCACGGAGTTCAGATACAAAGACCGGTCATGCCGAAATCATAAGACCGGCTCAGTGGGTGGCAAACAAACGAGACCAACTAAATCTTCATCAACTATGTCTAATCTTCACAGCCCACCTAAATCCCAGTCTGGAATTTGACAAGTTCTCCAGAAAAATGCGAGTGAGCCAAGGGCATTTCTAAATCCACTTGGTGAACAGGCTGGGTGCACATTTGAATGCTTTTTTTAAATTTTGTATTGTTTAAAAAAAAAAATCATTTAATTGGAAAGCTTGATCACAAGTTTGACCCAAGATTTGTATGATAATTCCGCATTTAGCGTGAAATATAAATATATTTTGTTCTAGTTTAGAGAAAGCTGTATTTATTAATTTCCAAAGGGTCAAACAATCCTGTGTAAGACCATGATTATAAAATATACCCTGTGGTTTGGTAATCTTGAAATGTAATACACAAATCTGAATTTTCTGACCCAGTTTATACTGTATACCAGCATAAAAACATTACAGTCACTCAGGTACACAATTAATTTGTAAAGTTGTAGAAGGATTCTTTTTGCATAATGTAGTCAATTAAAATATTTAAAGCTTTTTTAAAAGGGTTTTCTCTGGAAGTTTTTCCTTGTACGAAGTGAGGGTCTAAGGATAGAGGGTGTCGTTTTTTTCTCATACTGATATTCTGAACAATCTGTGCTGTTGTATTTGCTGTAAAGTGTCTCTACTGTAGGCTATTTTTATTATATGTAGCCTACAGCACTTTGGCTCGACCAAAAATCGTTTATAAATGTGCTGTATAAATAAAACTTGATTTGATTTGAAAGCTGGAATTAGCTCCCAGTTCGAGGACATGGCCTCTGTGTCCTTAGTAGCAGCTATAGTGTGTATAATTAACCCCCTTTAAATATGCAGTGATAAATGATGGATTAGTTATGAGTTTAGGTTTTTACCAATCAGACTCTTACCTACCCGTTCAATTCAACACTAGTATTTTGTCATGCATGTAATTATGTGAACTGTAGAATATAAATAACAATCCATGTCGGACACAAATATGTATTCCTTAACTTAATGAGTGCAAACTAGATACATTTTGGCATTGACATCCAAACTAAAAACTGTTTCATTATTTATTTACTTGCTCGTTTATCCTCCTATTTTGATAAAGTGTTTCCAGTTAGAGTATTTAAAACCGCATCTGACGTCATGGAGGAGTGTATTTTCACATTACATTCTGGTGACAGCTATTTCAACTTTTGTGATCAATGTAAAAACGAAACATTTCATCAGAATTCAGACTATTGACCATGCGTGCCTGGAAATGAGCCACTTTGGTGAAAACACGAAAGAGTAAACAATTATTTCCTGGAGATAGTCAAAGCCCTCAGGCCTGATCAAACCTCGACCAGTGGTGGAAGTTGTAAAAATACTTAAAGCATTAATGTAGTCATTATGCCGAATTACACATTTCAGAATAGTATACTGTAGAACTATAACTAGAGATGCAGTAATGTGTTTACTACTCTAATTTTGTCGCCTGTTATAGGTTTTACTACATATTCTACCAGGTAGCTTTTGAAATCTAACAATATATTGTAAACTATTTGAATATATTCTAATTACTAATCTAAATCTGTAACTAAAGGTATCAAGTGGAGTTAAACACAAGCTTTCAGCTGAAAAGATAAAGTAGCAAAACATTGAAATACTCAAGTTAACTATAGAAGTCAATGGTAAAGTACTTAAGTAGTATCTTACTTTCACCCTGTAGGCATCCTACATAGATTTACACATTTCTATACAATATTAATATACCTCGAAACCACAGAGTGAACTTTTTGAGCATAATAATGTTCAATGTTCACTCACATTTTATCTTTTTGAGAAATCTACTGCCAAACTATATCAAACATTTCCCGAGGCCTGTGAGCAGTAATGTGTTTGATTGATCAAGAAGTTGATATCCTGTGAAAAGAGATTACAGGGAATCTGTCGTAACAGTGACTGCATCAATAACGTCAGGTTGGGTTTCATGTGGCTCCTTCCCTTTCTGTACGTAATAGTGGAATCGCAATCATTTGTATTCACTTGGTTGTAACAAAACAAAAAAAGGAACTCACAGAGGGAGAGAAGGACGTGCAGATGTTCAGGTGTAGTGCCCTGATGTGTTTGATGACATACTTTTTCCTTCAGAGTGCATCTCTCTATCCCAGCATCCCATCTGGATCATGTGATCTGTTGCCAAGGAAACCGATCCCGCGGCATCTTTTCTGGTGACCTGCCTGAGTGAGAAAATCCAATTATATGACATCTGTGAAAATTAAACACAGATAGACAGAAAGACAGAGAGGGCACAGAGAGAGAAAGTGAGGAAGTTAGATGCCTCACTCAGTCTTCCACACACAAACCACATCCTGCAGAACGTTTAAACACATCTTTGTTGTGGATTTATGGCGAATGTTTTAATTGAACATAAAAATGTCGCCCTTAATGCAAATTCATCTGACTTTTTCTCCTTGACTGCAGGATCGTATAGACTTAACATAAAGTGAAAAAATGCATATTATGAGTGCCCACACGAAGGGTTTCACAATATATATTCTTTGAAGCGTTTACATAAAAATAAAATGTATATATCAGCCAATTTATAACATGTTTTGCTTGGACAATGATTGAACAGAAAAGTACATAAAGTATTGACAAATGCAAATCATCTATTAACCCTTTGACTTCCCCTGAACATTTTCTGTTTGGTAGCTTTAAAGAGAAAACTTATTTTTCCCGTACACCATACATTTGGAATATTTCCTCACAGATTAAAATGTTCAACAGTCAAGTCATGGTTACAGTTTGCTTCACTGCAGTAAACGGAAATATTTCAACAGTTCTTTTCAACTTATAAACACATTTTCTTTATGTCAGTTTGACATTTTGGGTATATTTGGGGTCATGTTTGGGATAAAACATTACAAACATGCATTTTTTGCTGATAATCTGGTGGTTCAGGGTCAACAGAGGGAGTGAGCATTCAGACAGTTTACTGGAGGGGTTTATTATGTATATTTGATGCAGCAGTGCCCCCTTGTGCTTTTGAGATGCCATCACACTGAATCGCGTTAACCCTGACCAGAAATAGTCCTACAATAACTTCCACAGCTCTCTAGAAGTCACATAAACAGCTTTATGTTTTGCGCTGTGTTTCTGTGAAGAAGACGCCTTCATCACAGTTGGCATAGGGGCATGGTAAAAGACACACTGAGGGAAACACATTCATAACTTTGCTGGACATTGGTCAAATAAAGCCCAAGTCATTATTTGTTCAAGACAGCTTTATTTGAAGTCATACATAACAATGCTGTTCCAAAGTAACCTGCTTACCCTCTCGTTCAAGGTTGTGAAGTCCGAACAGAGCAACAGAAAACTGCAGCCTTAAGTAGAGGCTCAATCAGTGGAAACACCTGTGCTCAATTGGAGCATGGGCGACAATTTTCTTCCAAGTGTAAAAGTGTTATTGTTTAAGGCTTCTGTGGTCAGAAATGTAGAATATGTTGACCTATTTGATTTATTGTGTTTAATTAGTTTGAACTACATTTTGAATACGTTTGTAGATGATAAGAATAACAGTAATTAAGGGTATAAATAGTGGATTGTCCTATGGGGAGGGGCTTAACATATATAAACCTCCGGCCACAAGTGTTTTGGAGTTAGTCTGACTGTGGCTAGAGCAGAGAGGTACCAGTTATATTTCTTCGACCTATACGTATATATATTGAGGTTTGTTTTTCTTTCTATTTTGGACTGTAGATCCTTGTTGCTTTGTGTTCTTTCAGCATTGTGGCTGTTAATAAAAGCACTTAAGGATACATTTTTTGTGACTAGCCATCTTATTTAATTCCTAGTTTTTTCATCGACCCTTTTTGTAACAGTTTCGCACACTATGACTGTCTACCAGGGGAATTTATCTGGATGAGGAAATCAAAACAGAAGAGGCGAACACACCCTCTCTGGCGTGTCGGGGCGTATCGTAGCATAGCTGAGGCAAACAGTGGAAGATGTGTTGATCTGATGATTCTTTAAAGATTAGTCAATAGTGTCAGTACTTTTACTCTGCGAACAACCCAAAACAATATGCTATTTATTGAATTTAACCTCTGCTTGTTAACACCCTAAAAGTCAAAATCCCCTACTGTGAACAGTGACAATGAGCAAGTATTAAAACCCTGATAAGATCAAAGTTAACACAAGGTACTGAATCACCAACTTCCTTAAAGACAACCTTTGTATATTTTTTGAGGTTGTTCAGAGATCCTTTTTTTATTAGTATTGTTTTAGGAAGATTTATATATTCTGCCTTTTTAAATCAGATGTTTGTGTAGGTGCTGTGTCTAAACCAGTGGTTCTCAACTGGTCAGGCCTCGGGATCCACTTTTTCCTTAGTCACTAGATCGCGACCCGAAATTTGTAACCACTCAAATCTATTCAACAAAAAATCGTACAGTAAAATATACTCTTTTCAGCATACATTATGAATTAAAGTGAAGTACAGTGCATATATCCCTCATATCCCTTCACAGAACTAAAGTATGCTTTTAAATAAGGTTTAATGAGATGATGGAATCAAAGCTGAACTATATAAAAAGGCACACATGCTGAAAACCCAACTCCAGAAGGGGGGTTTGGGGGGATTCTCCCCCAGGAGATTTTTTGAAATACTAACATATAAACTACCCATTCTGGTACACTCTGAGAAGAAAATAAATAAATCTATTACTACCCGACATATTAATAATATTTTATGCCATTGTTTGTTTTTCACTTTGTTCTGACAGCTTGCTGCTCCTCACAGAGAGAAGAGCAAAGAGGAGATAGTCTGTGTGAATTACTTTGTGGGTAAGGGTAGATAGCCCCCATTGTTCTGTGACCTGTCAATCATCAAACCGGGGGTCATATTTCATTATGTGTTCATTTGTATCTGAAGTTGTACCCATGGATGTATAAAGAATAGTTCTACCGCAAAGTTATTTTCCGTGGGGACTTCCGGCAACAATCTTGATTCTGATTGGCCAGAAGACTCGGAAAAACATCAGCAAAGATGTTTTATTGAGAAGATGATCACTACGTGACAGAAGTTTTCAAAACCGTTCATGGTCTCCGGTACTTCCAGTCCAACGCCTACTGCATGCACAGCGTTAGAAAATCGGGCCTTCAAAATAAAAGTTTGACTTTTCCCCCCCCAAAAAAAACAAAAAACAAACTATTTTTTTCTAAAAAAACAAATGTTCTTCACTCACACATCTGCGACCCACTTCAAACGGGTCCGCGACCCACCAGTTGAGAACCACTGGACTAAACCATGACCCACTAATGTTTTTAACCTGGTTATTAACTGGTTCATTTGCTAAATATTCTCTACATCTGTATTGGCTGTGACATTAAATTATTCTGTTACAGAGAAAGCAGAGGATGTCAAGTTAATTATATGCACTTTTAAATATGCACTTCTGAGGAAATACACAATTGTTGTGGTTTGAGGACTTACATTTGCAAGTTACATCAATGAGTTTGGAACAATGTTCATGGTTGCACAGAGAGACAAAGCTCAACTGCACCACAGGGTGCGGGAAACAGAGAACGACATCGAAACAAACATTGGTTTATCATCACTACCACCCTCTGGAAGAACTTGTTTTAGTGATGTTGAGCTTTACAGTAACCAGGTCTGAAGGGTGTCTAAGAGAAAACTAAAACCCTTGATGGTTGGTGTAATATATAGTCTTTGTTGAAGAGATAATGAAAAATAAAGATAGCTGAAGATTTTGTTTGGCATTCCAGAGACTTTATGCATCTGAAAATCCAAAAGGCCACGGTTAAATCCACCCCTGAACAGGAACAATTTCTAACAAGACTTGCTTAATAGAAAGTGTGTGGTTGTAGAAATGACATACAAGTAAATCCAATAAGACTGAAACTGTTATTTAACACATCCTTTTATTTCAATCTGCACTTTATTTATTGATAAAGCAAAGTCAGAGAGAAGTTTAAAATTGACACGGAAAAAACTTAAGACCTCAACATGGAGGGTAAAAAGTTGTGCGTATTTCTATTTAAAGTTAACATCAATGATGATAATGCGTTAGCTGTTTGAAAATGTCCTGAGGCACACTACAGGGGTAAGGGTGCGGTAACAGAAGGTCTTGCAGGGGACTGTCCTGATCACCAACGGCAGATTTTAGATCTTCCCTGCGAAACTTCCTCCCTCCATCTGGTCGTCCCATTTGCCAACCTGGGGGAGAAATTCAAGAAAACATTAGGCCAGTCTCACAAACTCATGTTCAAGCAGAACTGCAGTTTTACATTCATAGTAGTTTATTGGGATTCTTAAAAAGACAGCAACAACAAAGATGTATAGAGTTCCTGACCTTGGGAACGCTTTTCAATGTAACATCTACATCTGTTGCACCTGATACCATTGGCTAATTGTCTCAAAAATGGTTGCTAGTTTTCTGGGTCAATCATCAATGTAGTTTTAGCAATTTCAATACAAGTACAATGTTAAATGTAAGCTAGCTAGTAGCTAGTAAGCTATCTGAAACTTGAAAATAAAGGTGACAAGCTGTCAATGCAACAGCTGTGGCACTATGTTGTTAGTTATGTTAATAGTAGGGCCGGGACTTTAACGCGTTAATTAAGATTAATTAATTACACAAAAATTAACGCGTTAAAAAAATTAACGCATTTTAATCGCACTTATTTTTGCACCGCGGAACGTTTCTCACTGGATGAGTTTCAGGCGTACCGATTATACTGGAGCACCAACGAACGTTCATGACTTCAGACAACAACAAACAACAGTGAACAACAGTGGGAAATGTTGTTTTAAAAAACGGACGGATGGAAGCGTCGATAAGAGCACGGTTGTGTGCAAATTATGCAAAAAGGAATTCGCATATCACCGCAGCACATCAAGCCTCAAGTATCCCCTCAATGCAAAACATATAGCAGCTAGCGTGGAAGCTAGCGTGGACGTTAGCCTCTTTTATCGCGTTCACACCAAAAAGAGCCGGTACTAAAATTAGTTCATGAGAACCTTTTTACCCCGACGAAAGTCCCTGCTAGAGAGCAGAGAGCTGCTAGAGAGCAGGGACTTTCGTACGGCTCTCTTGTGAGAAAAGAGCTATATGTCTGATTGGCTGGGCGGATTGCAAACCACGCCCCGTAAAACTCCCAAAAAGTTTTGTGAAGCCGCCATTTTATTATCCTTGCATTAGCATTATTAGCATTAGCCCAGCGCAGAAACGCAGAGAGACTAACTTATGGCGACACAAAATAAAACATGGGAGCGGTGGAGATGAGGAGGTGTCGGCGTTCTGGCGATTTACTCGGAAGGCTTCAGTAGAAGCTGCTGGGACTCCCAGCCAGTCCCCAACTCCGTGGACTTCCGGCCGGGGACTTTGGGCGGCAGTATACGCCGTTTGCGGCCTGCCAGTAAACCCAAAGCAGAAGAAGAAGTGACGTCAGCGGCTTCATTTGCCTAATCCACCCCCAGGTTCAAAGAGTTCTCATGAACTAAGTTCTCATGAACCTTTGTGGGAAAAGTACTGCGGTGTGAATGCGCCTAATGGTATACTAAAATCCATGTGAAAAAAATTGCTTCTCACTGTTCTCAGGTCAAATATTTATATGTGATTAAAAATGCGATTAATTTCGATTAATTAATTACAAAGCCTCTAATTAATTAGATTAATTTTTTTAATCGAGTCCCGGCCCTAGTTAATAGTTAACATAAATATGAGGGAACAGAAACACAATAAGCAAATAAAAAGGGTGAAATGCATTCACCCGGAGACCAAAGAGATGCTTTTTGTCTTTTATCCGAGGTGGACATGGCACCATCGGTGGAAATTAAAGGTCAACAGTATACGCCAGGATATGAAGCTTAGCAGTGTGTCTTAAGTTTTCTCGTCATGAATCTGTAAAAACGTATTTTAGAAAGTATATAAGGGCTAGGGGCATTGTGGTGGAAGAATATGATGACTTTTCTTATGTCTCAGGTACTAATGAAAGCCAACTACGGGGACTAACACGATCACACATCAATACCATTGGGATCATTGGAACCACATGTCATATCCAGTCATATCCCATTCACACATTGTATGTCTTTTTAGAGACCAGCATGCAGAAATCCACATATAGTATATAAACTTTAAATGTCTCAAAATACACACGAGGACTCTTGAATATACAGAGGGAAATATCAGAGCTGTAACTTACCCAGCTCGTGGGACAGAGGCTCTTGTAAACCCTCTGGTACCAATCACAGGGAGCCACATCCTGGTCCTTTGCCGAGAGGGCCTTAGTGCACCTGTGGAAGTCTGGAGCAAAAACAAAGAAGGGTTCAAGGTTACTCATCCGACACAATGTTCACACTTAAAACACAATAAAAGCCCTAGAGATTAAAAGGGGGAAAAAACAACATGTTCACGCTTCAATGACAGGCAGAGAAATATGCACACAGCTGAAACATAATACTTCTTTCCTTATTGACTGGTGTAAAAAGGCATGACTCTATACATTAGATAAACTACAGTATGTATACCACCAATGTCATAATGGAAATCACATTTAAATGTTCAAATTCAAATCTTTTTTATAATTAATTACGGCTGTTGTCTGATTTTTAAGATACTGTTATCTCGTAGCTGTCTTATGGTACACTGTATACATTTTATGTTTAAACATAATATGTCAAAGGTATAACAATATATTCACTGTAGATAAAAGCACATTTTGTTAGGGCACCAGTTTGTTTGTACTTTAACAAACATGTCATGTAGTTTAAGAAACAGTATTGCACAAGTACAAAGATGTGGACAGAATGAAGTGTGCAGGCATGTTGCCCTGTCTTTGAATACTGTGTCCAAAATAAGTGTTATGAGCGGGTTATCCCAACATATCGATCCTTGTCCTCACCGAGGTAGTTCTGGTAGCAGTTGCGGGTCTGGTTGGTGTTTGGGAATCTGGCGTCAAAGGGAGCCGTCCTGTAGTTCTGGATCTTTGTCTCAACAGTATCAGCCATCTTTATGAGCTTCAATCTCACGTTTTAACGATACTGAAAAAAGAAACGGGGTGGATTAACTCACATCTGATACAGGTTTAGTAAACACTGCTGTCAGTGTCACATCAACAAAATGTTATGAGGCTATGCTAAGCTAACTATAGCATTCTGATCAAAGTTAAATGTAGGTTATCTCTGTCTACGCTTTGATCGCTACTCATTGTTAGTTCCTTAATCAGAATGTAGGATAACTGTTCAACTCTGATAAGTTTATTGACACAAACACTTTTGCCACGGTCACATTTCTTTGAATACAAGTTAGCATAGTTTGACACAGTGTTGTCAGTGAGCTAATGCTAGCTGTTAGGTCGTTGCTAACTCTTGACTCTGCCATTTGAGAACGTCTGTTTGTCCCGTGAGTTCCGGTTGGTGAACTCAACAGAAAACCCTTTGAATATCGAAGGCAACCTTTGTTAACAGAAGACAAAGTTAGGAAGTTACCGGCTGCTAACCTTGGGAGGTTTCTCGATGTGTCCTCGGTGGGCTCCGGAAGAATACGCTCCTTCGTGTCGACGCGCAAAGGATGCTGGGATATCGACTGACCGGACATGAACCTAAATTCAACTTTAAGTTTGACAAACATGTGTTTATTAATTATCAATATTAAGCTATGACGAACCTAATAATTATCTCTAGCCTGTCTTATTTTACAAACATTAGTTCATTTCACAAATCCAATTAAACGGAGAAAAAATAGGCCAGTTATTATATTATGTTACTTACAAGTATTAACTTAAATATACATCACTCTAGCATTTCAATTGTGATATACCTGTATGCGCAACGATACAGTTGGTTTAGGGTTGTTGATTTACAACACCTGATCAACCTAGGGTTAGTTTAAAAAAAGTTAAAGATTGATAATGTTAAAGTTAAAAACATAATAAATTACATCCTCAAAAAATACATAAATTACAGAAGTCTGGAGTAAAAGGTGTGAAGGCAATGGTATTTCTCTCTTAGCCGTGATTTAATAAAGTGGTTGTGTTACATTTTAAAGGTTAGTAGTTACATACTTTTTCTCTTTTATAGAGTAGACTGTTGATAGAATACACTTCTCCTGTTTGCCATGTCAAACAGATGCCTAGTTACAAAGTTAGCTTAGTATACACCATTACATGCATTTTAATCTTTGGGCTTTGCTTGGTTATTACAGTGAATTAGTCCGGCAGTGGCTCAGTCAGTAGGGGTACTTGGAGAGGTCCCAGTTCACCCCCTGGGCCCTGCCGTGGTGCCCTTGAGCAAGGCACCGGACAACCCCCCACTCCCATTGCTCCCCGGGCGCTGTACAATAGCTGCCCACTGCTCCTAGTACTAGACTCCTGGTACTAGGATGGGTTAAATGCAGAGGTCAAATTTCACTGTGTGTGCTGTGTGCTCTGCATGTGTGACCAATGACCATTAAAGAGGGTTTCATCCCTCCGATTCTAATACAACTGTAATGATTTTAGCATTTGTTTTACTTTCCCTTGATCAACAATTGCTTTATGATGTTTGGCAACATAACCATAGTAGACATGTAGACTGTGTTTGCCTGTTCTGCATGAAACAAAGATTCACCAGGAGGCCAATATCAGTTTGACTTCTTGTGCTGTATCAATATGATGCTTCAACTGCACATATTGTCTGCTTCTTACTTGAACTAATGTTTTATTTTCCCAAAGTGAAGCTTTGATGCAGTGGATAAGTCTTTGAAATGGGTAATTGATTGTTCTGATGATGTTTGCGATCTAGAAATGCAGATTTTTGAGGATCATACTTTGAACTGGGACACAGTGACGGCCTCTTTTCGCTTATTATCACCATCTTCCTGTCCAAGAAAAGGTCAAAGATTTCAGGTGTCTCTGTCGCTGCCTCGAGCTTCCTGTCTCACTCTGTGTGTTTCCTTCATCCTCTTTCCAGCAAAACTTGGGCCCTCTGTGTGTTTTGATATGCATCCCAATATCTTTTCCAAACAAAGAAATCAACGCTGTACCAGGTCAAATGGCCACATTCTTAAGAATATGTTGTGCTTTGAGACCTTTGTGTGGGCACATTTTTTTTAATATAATGAAACTTCATGAGAATGAAACAATGGCCACACTTTTATTTTGAATCCAGACCAAAATATGTATTTCTAAAATGCTTTCGGGTATTTAATGACGTAAAATTCCTTAAAAGGTTGCAAAGGCCCAAATGTGTGTGTAAATTCACCCTTATCCTGCTCTCTACCAATCTCTCCCTCTCTCTCTCTCAGTCAGGATATAGGTGTTGTCCACTGCAAAGGAAGGAAATTCTGTCACTTAGAACAATGGACCAGTTTCTCTATCTATAGAACCAGAGAGACTGAGAGCTAGAGGGACAGAGGGAACCGAACGTGTCCAGTTAGAGAGAAAAGAAAAAGGTATTTAGGTAAAGAGAACTGCATTAGCCTTATGTATATAAAGAATAGAAGATGTTTATGTTGATGTGTGCGAGGTTCAGGCCTTTTGAAAATGGAATTTTATCACGGGAAAAAGGAAACATGCAAGGATATTAGATTACACTGAGCTGCGTATTTGCATTTTGGTGGTGAAGAATCATCATAACACGCTAAAGAAGGATCAGAAGAAACAGTGGGTAAGTGTATTCTAAATCTATCCACTAAAAGCAATCGTATTTCTGTCTAGTAGTGTTTTGATTTCATGGTTTTCAAAATAATCCAACATCTAGGACAGTATGCATGTCTTTTCAGTCTAGAATCAAAAAGTATGACAACTAGTCTCTCAGTAATCAACCTTTAAAAGAGGTTATCAAATATGAACCTACATTTTGATTGTCATTTATATTGAAGTAACACAAAGAATAGGACAGGCAGTGACCTTTGCAGTGGGTATTTCCAAGTTAGTGCGACAATTGGTCCCACCGAAGATGCTTCCTGTTTGGGAATGGGGAATTCACTCTATGAATTTCAGGGGCTGATTGGGGTGTTTTGATGTTATTTATTTTAGTTTTTTTTCACCATGTTGACAACCTGCTGTAGATATCCTGTTGATATTTTTTGGATGGTGACATCATGCCATTGTTATATTGTTTCAATCCAGGCATTGCTGACACACATTCCTCTACAATGTGGAGGCCAATTTAGTAGATTAGATTAATCGGGACATTTATAGTATCTAGACATACTGCAGATTATTGAGTTAAAAACTACAGATTTCTTATTTGTGGGTCTTTCCCTCTGTCAGATGGAGGGGTCTGGCAGTCCTCGCTTCAGAAAGCTCCATTTCCCAGTGGGTCTGTGGATCAACTCGCCCAGGAAACACTTTGCCATGCTTGGGGGTCGCTGGCCCAGCGCTATCTCTGTCAAGTCAGTCTGAATTTGAAACTTGTTTAGTTAGATTCAGTACCTGATTGTTGAATGAACAGCTTTTATCTTACTTCCACGTCATTAGTATCCCCTCAACCCTGTAACCCTTCCCTGTTTTTATTTTAGTCCTTGTTGTTTGTCCCTGTTTAGTCAGTCATAATTCACAGCTGACTGGTCCCTTCCTTTCTCCTTCCTCTCTCCTGCATCTGTCTTCCCCTCCTCTGTTGTTCCCAGGTCGACCACCAGCTCTGACGCAGCCTCCCTCCACGAGGCCCCCTCTGCTCCTTCCTCTTCCCTTTCTAACTCCACCCTCTCGCTGGCTTCCCCTACCCCATCCCCATCTCCTTCCCCGGCCTTCCTCAGGCCGAGGCCTGCTGGGCCTCAGTCCCGCACAAAACGGCTTTCCCACCTCTTCCTGCGAGGGCGCTCAAACAGCGACAGGGACCGGGCGGTGGGGGAGAGGGAGAGAGAGCTTTGGGCTCACTCAGCTGCTCCTTCCTCCCACCACTACTTGCCCCCTGCCTCTTCCTCTGCCCCGGGCCTGATCAAGATCTATGGGGATGCCCTTTCCAGTGGGGCCAACTATCGCTCCCTGCTGGCCAACAGTAACTCTACAGCCAGGCAGCTCATCGCCCAGGTCATCACTCGGTACACGGAGAGGGAGAGGGAGGAGACAGATGACGCAGGTATGAGGGAGGGAAACTTTGACCGTCACTGCAGCCCCATTACTTGGAATTGTTTGCTCAAATATTTTTAACCAATTGGGAATGACCTAATGTAAACACAAACAGCGGTGTTGTGGAAAAATGATTACCCCCCCCTTCTCCTCCTCCCTTCCTCCATTACCTTCTAGTTCTCCAGAAATACAGCCCAGAGGACTTCCTGTTGTGTGATGTCATTGGAAAGCCCATCCAGCAGCCAGATGGAGCTATCAAATGGGAGACAAAGAGCCGGAGAAGCGTTGCCCCATGGGAATGTCCCTTGTTGTTAGTGGACATGTGGCGGCCTAAGGACGGGTTCGAGCGGCGCTTTGAAATCCAGAGAAAGGAAGACTATGAGAGAGAAGAGAGAGAGAGGGAGAAGGAGCGTGAGAGGGAGGGAGAGACATATCAAGGTATGTGTAAGACTCAACAGGCTGCAGGTCTCTTTGACCCGGGGTCAGACTGAACCATGCTCTGGTTGTCTGGGCAACAGGTGTGCGCTGGCGGGGCAGGAAGTCATCAGGAGGCGGACCTGAGGAGAGCGAGCGAGGTCACCGTGCTAGAAACTCTGAGCTCAGGAGGAGCATCAGTGACATGAACCTGAGTCTGAGGCGTCGCCAAGGTAACCATGTCGGCAATGACCCACGTGGAAACCGTCCTAACAACAACGGAGGAGTTCAGGATAGGAAAAACATTGTGAGCATGATCCATCCACTGCAAGGAGAGGTGAGAGCGATAATGTGTTGGAGAACAAACAAACTATGATGTTCTATCCATCTAGTCTTAACACACTTTCTATTATTTCCCCCTCAGATTAGAGCTTCAAAAGCTGAAGCGAAGGTTGGATGGACGAACCAGTCTGCGGAGGACGAGAAGGATTACTCCAGCTGTGACCTGGAAGTGATGTCACAAAGTTTGATCCTTCCACCCACAGACCGGCCCTATTTTCTGTTGCTGCAGGGTTACGATCAGAGCAAGGCGAGACACGCTGACAGATGATATCACACAAAACACCCACACACACACACACACACACACACACACACACACACACACACACACACACACACACACACGTACAGAATATAAACACAGGCACACACAGATGGACATTTCCATAATATACTCTAAAGTAACGTAAAAACACATCGATGTGCATGTATGCAGACCGGCAGGGGATTTGTGCAGATGTACACGCGTGCACACACCCTGTACATGACATCATACCTGCATGTCTGTAATCGCCACATACCATCAGGGTTTCCATCCCTCGACAAGCCTCTCCCATTCAGCATCCTGCACAAAACATCATCAGAGCAACACAATGCCCCAACAATTTATCCAAGAGAAGCATAAAACCCCTCTGTGTAGCTCACACAGGTCTCCATTGTAGAAAACTGTGACACACTTCATACCTTATCAACCGTCTTCTGTTCAACTCAACATCTCTGAGATGGAAGATTGATATAAACTATGGCACTTAAAGATAAAAGACCTCCCTGACTTTCTTCTGCCCTCC